CTCCTTCCAGACTTTCTGAACGGCATCATGTCGGATAATGTGAACAAAAACACACATTTCTCTTATCCTACATGTACAACATGAATGCTCAAACATAGCTTTCACAGGTCAACTGCTCGTAATAAACACTGAACTGAGTTAAAGATATAGAAGGGATATAGAAAAGAAAAAATGATGCTGCTAATAGCCTACAGTACATTGTCTATGACTGATAAATAGGAATCCATCACTTCAAAATATATTTAAGAGTCCATGCGTCCACGATATACATATAGTGCAAAAAATATATGCAAAACCATCCATAAAGCATCAAAATGGACAGTATTCCTTTAACATTTGGGCAACACAGCACTGCAGATGGGCAGCATTTGCAAACTAAACATGTGATTCGTGTGACGTTCCTTTGGTGCTCCACCGATACGGGCCGATAACCCAGTGACAAATGTAGCTTATAAGAATGTTGTGGGAACATAATTAGAAATATTTCAAAAACACGTCGTGTTCTTAGAAGGTTACAAAAACGTTTCTTACAACATTCTACTAACTTTGTTTACCCAAAAAACAACATTATTTGAACATTTATTTTTTAATATTCTAAGAACGTTAAAAGTCCAGTTTTCTTGTTGTGATTAGAACGTTATTTAAAGATTTAAAAAAAAAACATTTCTTAGAACTTTCAAGTACAAATAACATCATAAGAACATTCCGAGAACATTCTAAGAATGTTTTCTCTAAACATTATGAGAAAGTTCCATAAGTATTAACTTTAAGAATGTTTTGTCCTAACATTTATATAACTTAAAAAAACGTTATTGAGAGTCACGAGAAGGTTCCCTGTTAGCTGGGAACGTTCTCAGAACTTTGGCTAATGTTCTGGCAAGGTTCTCTTAAAGTAACATTAATAGAGCTTTAAGTCGAAGTTATCTGGTCTTTAATAATGTTGTCCAAACTTTTGCACAAAAACATTTAGACATCATTAAATGTTACTACTTGATTTAGAATGTTCAGAGAATTTTTAAAAGTAGCATTCTCCTAATGTGTTCAAAATGATCAAATGTAATGTTCTCTTAACATTTGCATAAACAAGAAAAACATTTTTTAGATATTTTTAAAAAATTGACATTTTGAACATTCAGAGAATGTTCAATAACGTTTTCATAACTTAATGGGAATGCTATACTATACTATACATAACAGTATACTGTATGTGAAATGCTGTAGAGTCATTATAGCAACTGGGATTAATACATTTTGTTACTCAATATTTACTCAAAATTCACTAAAATATTAGAAAACATCTGCATGGTCCTTGGAACCGGAGAATTATTGCTTTTATTAAGCAGGTGCACATTGGTTTCTAGTAACATTGAACAAATATTACAAGAAACATTCGCAAATGTCTCCCTACATTTTGCAGTTCAAGGACTTGAATGAGAATGACTGTGTCAATTACTGTCAAAATCAGTCAAATGCAGTATAATAAATACAAATATCCAGTTCTGGAAGAGAACAATATGAAATGAATTTGCTCTGAAATATTACAAATTTAAAACAACATTGCAACAGCTTTGGAGCATGCAGACAACTTTTAAAAGAATAAAATGTTCTTCCACCCTTTAAAACCACCAGTGCCGACTTCATTTACAAAGCACAGCACAAAAAGCAGAAACCAAACAAGATTTTGCAGGGAATGAAATTGCATAAGACGCACTTCAAAACTGATGGTCAGTGTGCTTTAAATGTGGACATATATTACAATAACAGACCCAAACATGCTTTTTCTGCTGAATCCCTTCTTTAATCAGTCTCCATCACACACACAGGTGTGTTTGCACATGCTGCCCAGCAGGAAGAGTATACAGTACACATTCACAAACACAGAGAACAAGCGCAATCTTACACTGAAACATTTCCAGTTGTAAAAATTTTTTTTTCACAGGTTCAAGTTTGCAGTTGAATTATCATTGAGTTTTGTTCAGAAACAGGCAAGTTCAAGCTTACAGTAGTCTGCATTTGACTCCAGTGTGTCCATGTTAAACCAGGGATAAACACCTCTGAAGACGAGCAAACGTCCCTCTCATGACTGACATTACAAGAGCCTTTCATTCTCAACATCACTGAGACTCACTGAAGCTTGAGTCTCGGACAATCACAGAAACAGTCTTATATCGCTGTCAGTGATGTAGCAACAACATAGCTGTTTCATGTGTTTTAAAAGAATAAAAATCAAGCCCTATTTATATTGCAGCCTTAATGTCTCACATCATAGAAAAATCATCTCTGGAGGTCCAAGTGATAATCTGTGGAAGGCCATTTCCATCAAATGAGAAAAATAATCATGCCAAAAAAAAAAAAAAGTATTTCAAAATTCATAAAAGTCATAATCATGACATGATATGACAAAAAGTTGAAATTATGACATAAAAAGGTAAAAATATTAGATAAAGAGTCAAAATTATGGGAAAAAACTAAATTATGACATACTAAGTCAAAATGATGAGATAAGAAGTCATTATTATGACATAAGTCAAATTTGAGTTAAAAACTAAAAAAAGCCGAAATTATGATAGTCTGACAAAAATTCTAAATTGACAGTCTAAAGTATGAGATAGAAAGTCATAATTATGACAAAAAGTTGAAATTATGATATAGTTGAATTATGACATAAAAATTCAAAATTGTGAAATACTAAGTCTAAATAGACATAGCTATGACAAGAGTCAAAATTATGAGATTTTAAAAAATCATCAGTATGACAAATAGCCAAAATTATGAGACAGTCGAACTACGACAAAAGTTTTGAATGATGACATACTAAGTCTAAAGTATGAGAGTCATAATGACAAAACGTCATAATTATGAAAATAAGTCGAAATTATGATAAAAAGTAAAAATTGGCTGAAGTTGAAATTATGACACTTTTTAAGTCATAATTTTGATGTTATCTCATAATTGGCTTTGTAATAATTTCGACTTTATAATGATCATAATAACCTAGTATCTCACGTATCTCGACTTTTTGTTATACTTTGACATGTCAACTTTGACTTTTATTTCAGAATTATGACTTAGTATCTAATTTTTATGCTCATAATTTCGACTTTTTGTCATAAATGTCACTTTTTAAGAATTTTTTTTTTGTTTTCTTTTATAGCGAAATTGGGCTTCCATACACTGTAGCTTATGCTGCGTTTGATTTGTGTCATAATTATGAAATGAGACCCTTTTAACCTCCTCAGACTCTAATTAACTCTGAATTATTCATGTCCATGGTGACACTCATAGTGTTAATGGATCCATGTGTGGCTTTAACGTTGATCATTTTATCACTACATAAATCTACCTCTTGCAAAATATTAAACAACAAAGAAAGCCTGTTTCACACCGTCTTTATTTCACTGAATCCTGATGATTGCAGAAGTTTAAAGCGACAGTACGTGCTTTGGCTTCTTTATGTAAATGTGCTCTGCCTCCCCATGTAAATTACATTTCATTGTAATTGCTCACTCAAAATGCTCAATTTATGGCCCTTGTTAGCAGAAATATTAAATTTAGCAGCGTTACTCACTTGCTGCTTCTGTGTAAGTTGTGAAACAGGCCTGCGAGAGAATGATATTAAATGCTCTCTTGTCCAACAGAGAGGATTTTTCCTTGAAGACACATTTCTATTACTTTGACCAAGCGTTGGTTTCAGTCGAGCGGCGACACTGAGACGAATCACATTTGCGAGGGAAACCGAGACAGGTTTAGTTTGGGACTTTTAAATGGTGATGTCACACTTCCTGTAGAAATGCACAAGCAAAGGCCTCTATTTCCTGTCTCACAGTACACGCACTTCCTGATTTGATATGAAAAACTATGAATAAGAAATAAATACCATTTATAAACTACACAGAGCATGTTTCCAGTAATGTACAGCAGGTTGTTCTCCAAGCAGCATAAAATACGGATAAAACACAGCCACATGATTGGACTCCCCAGTCTTTCGTCACAAGGCTGATATAAAGCCGTCGTGACGCAGGAGAAGTTGCACAGTGATGGACGACCGCTGACACACCTGTCTTCAGTGCATGCATACAGCGAACAGATCCTAGTCGACAAATAAAACACTGCAGAATTGAGCTTAGCAAAACTGAAACAAAAATGTTTTCTGTACGTTAATCATCATTTCCTACTCTTGATAACTGGCATCTCCAGCCACACACACACTGCAAAGTTTCGGTAGTGACAACTGCATTTAAATATGAATTATACCCCCTAAACTAGATATACACCAATACATCTTCAGACTGAAAGATCTCTAGCACCTTTAGCATGTCTGAAACATTTTGCTTTAAAATTTTCAGGCTTAAAAAGGCATTTACTGGGCCTCAAAGAAGTGCAACGCTCTGCAACAGTCTCAAGCAGCGGTTCTCAACTGTTTTGCAACTGGAAATTCGAGGGGTAAATTATAAATAAAATGCAACTATAATCAAGTATAGTAAGGAGAAAATGCATCTTTCTGTCATTTGTCCACACTATTTCAACAAACTCATTGGTCATTTGGTAGAAGACAGAAAAAAGACCAAAAACCAGGAGCAAAACTACACCAGGTACAAAGTAAATACAACCCAGATAACATTAGATACACATACGGATAAATAACATTTCTGCTACTATTTATGCATTTACAAAATAGTTTTCCTATTCAGTCTATCATGTTATTAACTTTGCATATATTTAGGTCTAAAAAGTTCATGCTAATATTAATCTATCATATATTAAAATTATACACACTACTAGTTAAAAGTTTGAAATATTACGTTTTTTAATATTCTTTGTTTCTTCTGCTCACCAAAGCTGCATTTATTTGATCAAAAATACAATAAAAACAGTAATATTGTAAAATATTATTATAATCTCAAATAACTGATTTCTATGTGAATCTATTGTAAAATGTAATTTATTCCTGTGATGCAAAGCTGAATTTTCAGCACCATTACTCCAGTCTTCAGTGTCACACATGATCTTTCAGAACTAATTCTGATATTATTATTATTGGTGTTCAATTATTAATAATACTTCTTCTTATAAGCATGAAAACTAAAAGCATATTCCAAACTTTTGACCTGTAGCGTATAATAGCATTTCAGCGTTTGATTTGAAGGAGATCTTTGTTTACTTTTGGGTCACCACATAATGTCAAATGTAAAATCCAGATCCTGAAGCAAAACCAGTTGAGAACCACTGACAGTTAACATGACGTGACGTTTGCCATTTCATATTTGGCAGATTTACAATTCAAAATCTTACAGGTGGAAAACGAAGGACCGTAAAGCCACACTTACAGCTATAACAATTAAGATACCAGTTAAAACGTGCACAAACATCGGGATTTTAAATATATCGGTACAAACAAAGCAGAAACACCTGATACTCTTTGTGCTTGTCCAGATCGACGTCATAACACACAGCAAAATCCTGTAGTTTACAGTGCGAGTGGAGATTTCATGCATTGCAGGCATGGTTTGACGCAGGAGTCCGTGTTTGCATTAAACCCGTGCTGACGGATGCTGCATCGGTAGACGACCTTTCCTGGGTTTCACAGATAGATGACGCTCAAAAAATCCTGCAAACCGAAGTCAAACTGAAAGCAGGATTGCATGTCTGTTTTTTGCACTAACTACAAACATGTCACAAGTACAAAGGCATTTCAGCAAAGCATGGCTGTTTTTCGTCTGAAAGCATTATTATTGCATACTTGACACAAAACAATCCAAGCAGCCGATGTTTTAATGCATTAAAACACAAGCTGAACTCCATGCATGAGGCGCAAACGCATGTTTCCTTCAGTTGCATGTACTTCTCCAATTTTCCAAATGCTCCGAATGCACTGAACTCAATATGCATCCATTCGCTCACGTGCCGCGTTTAGCAATACAGCGACATCCGGCTGCGCCGCATGGCCTCGCTGATCAGGTACGCAGGACTGACTTCCGGTTCCTCCGTCATCACCACGATGTTCTGCCACTCGCCACACTGATTGGACTTCTTGATCGTGTCCACGACGCAAAGCGCGTACAGACAGTCCTCAAAAGTAGCGGCCATTGTCAGCGGCCGGCCATCCCACGTTCGCCGGTCGTCCTGATCCTGAAACGCCTGCCGTACGGCTTGAACCATGCAGATGGTGCCGGTGAGATACGGAGACGGGATGTCCCGGAACGCCTTGTCCGGTAGGGACGCGTTTCCGACAGGCGTGTTGTCCTTGAGGAGGAGCTCCTGACCGCTTCCGCCGTCGTTTTTCTGTCCGTACAAATCCGTCCCGCAAACCGTCAACCTGCCAGACGTTCCTACAACCACAACCTCCTGCCGAAACTCGCCCGGGACATTGAAATTGAGCGTAACCGTGCAGCAAGCGCCTCCTTCCAGCACCATCTGAAAGGTGCAGAAGTCGTCGCTGGTGATCTGCCGGATCCCGCAGATGTGGTCCGTCTGCTTGACGAACGTCTTGAGGAAGCCGTGCACCTTCGCCGCACGCCGGCCGGTCAGAAACGTGAGCAAGTCGATGATGTAGCTCCCGACCGAATGCAGCCCGCCACCGCCCATCAGGTCGTCGCAGCTCCAGTTGTACTTCCATCCCACGTTCGCCGGTCGTCCTGATCCTGAAACGCCTGCCGTACGGCTTGAACCATGCAGATGGTGCCGGTGAGATACGGAGACGGGATGTCCCGGAACGCCTTGTCCGGTAGGGATGCGTTTCCGACAGGCGTGTTGTCCTTGAGGAGGAGCTCCTGACCGCTTCCGCCGTCGTTTTTCTGTCCATACAAATCCGTCCCGCAAACCGTCAACCTGCCGGACGTTCCTACAACCACAACCTCCTGCCGAAACTCGCCCGGGACATTGAAATTGAGCGTAACCGTGCAGCAAGCGCCTCCTTCCAGCACCATCTGAAAGGTGCAGAAGTCGTCGCTGGTGATCTGCCGGATCCCGCAGATGTGGTCCGTCTGCTTGACGAACGTCTTGAGGAAGCCGTGCACCTTCGCCGCACGCCGGCCGGTCAGAAACGTGAGCAAGTCGATGATGTAGCTCCCGACCGAATGCAGCCCGCCACCGCCCATCAGGTCGTCGCAGCTCCAGTTGTACTTCTTCCCGAGGAGGCTCCCGCCGTGAACCTGCGCCTCGCAGACCAGGAGCTCGCCCACGTAACCCTCCTCCAGCAGCTCCTTCATGCGGACGAAGGCGGGGAGGAAGCGCAGCACGTTACCCATGATGCTGAGCAGCTTCGGGTAGTACTGGGCCGCCGACATCATGCGGAAGGCATCCAGCGGCGTCGCCGTCCGATCGCATATCACGTTTTTTCCAATTCCTAGAAGAGGGAATGAGAGAGAAAGTTAGACGAAACTAAACTCACATAAAAGGAATACAATAAACAGAGACATCAGGACATTTTGGCTTTGCAAGAGTCTTCAGAAGAGGATTGCACTAAGAGATTATATGTATATTGAGGAAAGTTTGCCATCTGCTGGTATTTATAGGTAGTGCAATGAAAGGAAACCTGTTGTGTAAAAATGTTTGTTTCAAAGTTGTAAATAAAACAGATAATAGGAGTACGGGAGTAATAGGAGAAATAGTAATAGAGTAATAGGAGTTTCAGACTTTCTATTACCAGGAGCTCGCCCACGTAACCCTCCTCCAGCAGCTCCTTCATGCGGACGAAGGCGGGGAGGAAGCGCAGCACGTTACCCATGATGCTGAGCAGCTTCGGGTAGTACTGGGCCGCCGACATCATGCGGAAGGCATCCAGCGGCGTCGCCGTCCGATCGCATATCACGTTTTTTCCAATTCCTAGAAGAGGGAATGAGAGAGAAAGTTAGACGAAACTAAACTCACATAAAAGGAATACAATAAACAGAGACATCAGGACATTTTGGCTTTGCAAGAGTCTTCAGAAGAGGATTACACTAAGAGATTATATGTATATTGAGGAAAGTTTGCCATCTGCTGGTATTTATAGGTAGTGCAATGAAAGGAAACCTGTTGTGTAAAAATTTTTTTTTCAAAGTTGTAAATAAAACAGATAATAGGAGTACGGGAGTAATAGGAGAAATAGTAATAGAGTAATAGGAGTTTCAGACTTTCTATTTAAAAATCAAATGTGTTACTTAATGTTTCTTTGTAATTATTTGTGAAATTTACTAGCAATTTTGAGTGAAATTGATTTCAAAGTAAATCTTAAAGTATTTTTTCAGTGTAGAAGAAAAGAGGTTTTAATTGAGGAACACAATCACATCATTGAACAGCACACCGGAGAAAAAATATGGTGTAAAAACTATTTACTTCGCTAGTAAATTTCACCAAAAAATAAATAAAAAATTACAAAGAAACAGCAAGTAACACATGAAATAAAATTTTGAAGAATTTTTTTTTTTGTAAAACATACTCCAATTATCGGTTTTATTTACAACTTTGAAAAATCATTTTTTACACAACAGGTTTCCTTTCATTGCACCACCTACAAATGCCAGCAGATGGCAAACTTTCCTCAATATACATTTCAAAACAATGAAATATATCTTACAGAGGGATTTGAGTATTTAGATTGTACTGTGAGTCAATTTAATTAATAAAAAATATCAATTTGGATCAATTTAATGCATTCTTGCTGAATAAAAGTATTAATTTCTTGTACTTTTTTAAACGGCAAACTTTGTGTAGTGTGTATGTACTAAAAGCTGAGATAAATTACAGCTCAGAAATGTTGCTAGTCTAATGAAGCTGAATTTTATATGTGAGTCTCATAAGCTGAATGATCAGTACTGAAGTCCTGCGTAATGTCTTCACTGTCTGGTGCACGGCATTTTCCTCAGACTCGCAGCAGAATAAACTAGCAGGCTAATCTCCCATCAGCTCCCGACGGCAAAACCTGAGTCAGAAAATTAATCCAGCTGACCCATTTCTAGAAATCCAGTGTGGGAGACGAGAAAATAAATCTGTGTTGGTTCAACAGCAGCCACGATTCAGAAAGGCTCACCAAGTCGCATGAAATGAAAACGGATTTTTTACTTTCTCCTGTTCTTATTGTGAATGACTGATCAGTGCATGTTATTCCTCAGAGAAATGCTTGCCTTCCATTAAAATAAAATGACTTTCCTTTTCAGATGATGTCATCAATCCCTCTTATTCTTAAGTCCCTCCCCCTCAACATGACTCATTTCTGGTTCATAAGAGCGAGCGAACGAGAGTGAGAGAGCGAGAGAGAGAGCGCGAGCTCATTAGCGTGAGGATACCAAGGCCTTGCAATTTCTCTCTCTAGGGATCCGAACAGCATTAATGCACATCGTACCTGCACAAAACACACACACACACACACACAACTGCATCAGTATCCTCTCAGTAAACAATTATGCATTTATCTTAGAAACCTAGCAACCAACCGGAACACCCTAGCAACCACATAACATCGTCTTGGCAACCACTCCAAAACATTCTAGCAAAATACAAGCATCTAGTTCACATCAAGTCAAGTTATGATAACATAGTTACAATCAGCAATTCTGAACGTCTGTGATATGAACCATCTGGAAATATAAAGAAAGGCTGCCTATACAAACACATATACACTATTATAATATCTTAGCTGAAAGATGTGCTGAAAAGCATTAAAATGAGCACAAATGCTCTGGTTTGTGAAACTGATGTTTGGGATTGTGGTTGATCTGCAGCATAATGTTTTAGCAATATGGTCTGAGGAAGTAAGCTGATCATCAATCACAACTCCAAGGTTTCTGGCTGTTTTTGAAGGAGTTATGGTTGATATGCCTAACTGGATGGTGAAATTGTGATGAAACAATGGGTTTGCTGGAACCACAAGCAGTTCTGTCTTGGCAAGGTTGAGTTGAAGGTGATGGCCCTTCATCCAGCAATAAAAGGCTGTTAGACAAGCTGAGATGCGAGCAGCTATCGTCGGCTCATCAAGATGGAATGAGAGGTAGAGTTGAGTGTCATCAGCATAGCAGTGATATGAAAAGCCATGTTTCTGAATGACAGAACCTAGTGATGCCATGTAGACACTAGACAGAGAAGAGAAGTGGTCCAAGAACTGAGCCCTGAGGCACCCCAGTAGCTAGATGTTGCGACTTGGACACCTCACCTCTCCAAGATACCTTGAAGGAACTATCTGAGAGGTAAGACTCAAACCACTGGAGTGCAGTTCCTGAGATGCCCTTTGCCAATAGGGTTGACAGGAGGATCTAGTGGTTAACCGTGTCAAAAGCAGCGGACAGATCCAGCAAGATAAGTATTGAAGATTTGGAATCTGCTCTTGCCAGTCTTAAGGCTTCAACAACTAAGAGCAAGGCAGTCTCGGTTGAATGTCCACTTCTGAAACCAGACTGATTGCTGTCAAGGAGGGTGTTCTGTGTGAGAAAGGCAGAGACTTGGTTGAACACAGCTCATTCAAGTGTTTTTGCAATG